TGAAGAGGCCAAGCCAGGACATTCTCTTTGCAGCCTGAAAAGGATGAAAACCACAAAAACCGTTACCAACAACATATAGGCCCGCCGGGCTTGAGTTGCACTGATAAAAACCCAAATACAAGAAATTATTTTCTGCAAATTTTTCAGAGCAACAACAGAGATTTTACGAATCACTACCACGATTTCCACAATTAAGGTTGAAAGCAAGCATTTTGAATTATTAAATTTTTTTTAACTGCATTGTTGACCAACTGGCATCATGGATCCGAATCCTCAGCTTCGACTTCGTTCGCAACCAAAACCACAACAAGCCAAATAAAATGTGCTCGCCTTACTTTGGCTGGGCTCTCTTTATATGCATGCTACATTATAAAAAGAATACACATTAAATACCTACATTTTCTTTTTGTTCATTCAACGGCAGGGCAGGAGCTGGAGCTGGAGGACCAAGAATGGAGCACAGAGACAAACACAAAGTAGCCGCGGGCGTTTTACAAAAGAGTATAAATTATTGATTTTTTTGCCATGGTTTCATTATCCTCCCACTGCTGCACCACTAGCGAGATCATTTTTGCATATGTATTATATATGGTAATAAAAAATACAAGCAGGCCAGCGACAGACACCGCAGCGAACAGAAGCCAGACATCCTTTGACAATTATTATTCAATATTTACAGACAAATACACCATTGATAATCAAGATTAATGGCGGGGAAAATTTCAGTGTAATTTGTCGGAAAATTTGTGAAAAAATTAACTGGATTTTTGAGAGTAAGAAATCGAATATTTTGATTAGGGCTTGCAAATGGCATAATAAGATATGCGCTAGGAATGAATTATTTACACATTCCATCAGCAAGTCTAGGATAACTCATTTTATCCTTATATAGTTGTAAAGTTTGAAATAATTGAGCCATAAGAACTTGAATTACTCCCAAAAGAGCTCCCAATCCATTGAATAAATAAAGCAAAACAAATAAATCGAAATTCGCGATTGATTTATGTCCAATATAAAATGTGCAAAAGTAATGATGTTGGTACCAAGTGCACATATAGTTTCATGTACCGGGTTGTATTGGATATATGTGGAAAAGGAGAAAAAAGAACCAATCATATGCAACGGCTACATAATAAATAATGTCAACACTTACGTCCTGGAGCCCCTGAAAGTTGATGGGCGGCAAATCATATATACACACTATTATATATGCATTGCCCGGTCAATTGAAATGGAATTGGATTCTGTCAAGGCACATATCCATAGTGCCAGGCATGAATCGCACTGGGATAAGAGCCAGCGAGTGGACAAACTCACATTTCGATTCATCGTTGTCATCGCCGATGAATGACACAAATTTTTATTGCCTTTTCAACGTCCGACGGACACCGGGCGGCAGAATATTAATAAATATAGCATGCGAGTGCCTCAACCAATCTGAGGTTGACCGACAAGTGTATCGGGTCAAAGGACTCGTCCGTTGAAAAGGAGTGTACTCGGGTAAGTGCGGATGCGTGTGCACCAGACCAAACCGCAGACAATAATGATTAATAATTATATAATAGAGCTATTACCTGAAGACAAAATTGCCTTCGTCAAAGCGGCTGAGACGCCTGACAAACCTTCGACCACAATTCCCTTATCGCAATTCGAAAAAAATGCTTTGATGGGGTTTTCGATACGAATTATGGTCCGGAGATGCGGTAGGCCGAAATGCATCACCCCAAGCTGAAAAAAAGGGCAAGAAAAAAGAGCTACGCAGAGTTCAAGCCAAAAACTGTCACAGCAAATATTCTTCGACATCCCGTCCAAAATGTGCCGGAATCAGTCAGACGTGGCTTAAGAGCCTCCCGCCCCCACACACACGGGAAGGTCGAAATAAAGGAGCTGGGGCGAAAAGGGCTTGTGGCGGGACGTGGCCAGATGAAGGCAAAAGACCGCACTAAAGCTATTTTAACAAGGAAAGGGACTGGAAACAACAACACCCAAAGAAAAGGGGAAAAACTCCATTTACGCTTGCTTAGTTCCTTTTAGAATAAGGTTTAAGCTTAACCCAGCATAAAATCAACTGGTAAATTTTTTATAACCCCCCAATACCCGACCCTTCAGCCATCAAGGAGATTAAAGAGTTAAATTTTGCAGCCGATCCGAGCTCTGACTGCGAATCAAGCCTAAAACTATATACTCCCATACATTTATTCGCATGGAATATGATTATAGGGGTTCATTCATGCAATCTCTTTCACTTTTCCCCCTTTTTTTTTTAGCAACCACTCTGTGTGCAACTGTATGGCATCGTAAGCCTGTTATGATAGAAACGACATGTGATCTAATCAATTGGCTTACAATATATTTGTCGATTGGGCCACGCCCTAGTTTAGGAGTACATAGTGGCACGGCTAGAAATAAGTTATTCAAGAATAGAAGAACCTAAAAAAGGAAGAACAAAGTTTAACACAAGCCTTCTTTGCTCAGCCTAGAGTAGGCTTTTCCTTCCAGGCTGATTAAAACAAAAATCGTATTACCTACTTAATAATTTCTGGCAGTGCATGCGTCACCAGGATTTATCCAGAACCAGATCCGGCTTCAGGTCCAGGTCCAGGTACGCCCGGAAACACGTCTGCCGGCCATTTTGTTTGGAATCTGAAATCAAACCGGAAATGTTAAAATATGCAGTGTGCCTCGGACTCTTGGCTCAGCCACGGCCCTGCCACCCACTTTTCCCTCATTTGTTCATTTGCATTGTGTTGGATGATTGTTGACGTTGGTTGGTGTCGACAGCCAAGCTGGAGGACAAATTTAATGTCATCTGCAAGCTGCCAGGTCCTTTTATTGGAGGATTTAAATAAAAATACACCATTCAAGCTCGTTCTGCCTTGTCCGTTAAAGATCTCGTCCGAGACGCACTCGGCTTTGAGCTAGAACTGTCTCAGTATTAGTTTTAACTCCAAAATCGAATTAAATTCTTATCTCATCAACTTGAAATGATTTCTCGGACAATTAGAAATTGTCATTTAAAATGGAAATGGATATCATTTAAATACGAGTAATTGAATAGGCTTTATTGACGGTCGATTAAGTCAGACACTTGGAATAAATTGGACATGTATAGTTTTTGATTAAAATAATTCGTTTTATTAAAAACCAAAGTAAAAATTCATACCAGAGTGATGGATTTTTTTTATTAAAATTTGAATAATGCTCCTACTCACGTTATTTGATTTTTCTGACTTCATTCTGATTTAACTTCCGCAGTTTGGTCTCCTTTCAAATAGAATATATGACAGAATAGCAGCTCCTATTCCACAGATGGGTATTACATCCTTTCAGAAAAAAGACCTTGATCTGCCGTGCATCAAAAGTTAAACCTGACTTAAATGTAGTTCACTCCTTTTATACCCATTTTTCCTCTTTGCCATTATAAACTGATTTATTGGTTCATTTCCAGGCGCATGTATGGGAAGTGCAGCTAGTCCTGGAGAGCTGCAGCGGGATATCGACAAAGGATTGAAAGGACTCAGTTCCGAGGCCAAGGTAGACAAAGTAAATTAGATTTGGCATGGCACTGCCTTGATGATGATGCATGCGACAAGTGAGTTAAATTTCCAGACCAGGCGAGGAAGTGGGTGCCAGACAAAAAAGGGTAAGTGGGAGGGCCGTCATAGTGTAAAGTGGGGCTGAGCCAGTCAGGTGCAGCAGGCAGAAACAATAAGAGCAACAGACGGACAGGGCATAGGCAACTTTAAGCCGATATCAAATCTTTCAATAATTAATATGGCACACAGCCGCACGCAGAGAAAGGAGCAGAGTCGAGCTGGTTGTGCAAACAAACGCCGGCTCATAAATAAACAGAACGTTTCAACTGGTAAAGTTTTCCGTTCCGCGCACATACACTGAAAACAAAGGTGACATAATAGAGGAAACATGAATTCTTAATAAAGAAATTTAAAACTAAGACCAGTTACAGTAACGTATATTTTTACTTTAACAAAAGTAAGTGATAAATCATCTTAAATCATTTTATAGACTCTTTCCATTACAAATATACTTTATTGTAGCTTTTTTCTTCAAGTGGCTGGCACACATCAGCACGTGTTCATTTCCGGCTACAGCATTTACCGTGCATATCCTGCGCCAAGGATCCTTGGCCTTCTCTTCCAGCCCTACCCCGGTCTGACCCGGCCAGGCTTTACTGGATTGGTCTGGCCTGTTGTGTTTTGTTGCAAAGGTGGCTGCCTAAGCCGTGCTCCATCGTCGATACAGCAAGCTTTCAGATTTAATTTTAATTAGGTGCTATTGAATTTTTCAGCTCCTGTCGCCGGGCTTCGCCCTCCAAACGTATCCTCTTCACTCCCACACCGCACACGTAAAACTTTCAAAGCCGCTGCCAAAAGTTTCCGGCCGGCTGCCTGCTGCCAGCTGCTACGGGGCTAGGGGAATCCCGCTGCCTGTTGCCTGACACTAATAACAATAATCACAAATTGTATTTTCATGAATTTTCAACTCGTAATTACTAATATTTCAATATACACACAAATTCATAATCTATACCTACACCCCAGATTCAACTGGCGCCCCAACAGCAGCCGAAAGTGGCGCATAATTAAAATTTGTTGTCCGCGAACTCGCCAAAAGGGATGGTTGGCTGGTCGCTGGGATGGTGTTTGGAGATGGAGATTTACCTTTTACAATGAATAACAATGAACAATGTACATTAATTTTCCGTATTAATTGTTTATTTGCGCAGGCTGCATATTAAAATTTCTGCTAATCAATATTAAGCCCCATTCGAAACAGATTACTTTTCGGCTGGCTTTTTGCATTGTTGCTGTTGGCCTATAGGGAAAACGGCCTTAATTGGGTTTTGGAGTCTATTTTGAGTTCTGAAATAAAACAAGGTTAATTCAATCATGAATTCAATTATAAATTAGGTTTTACTTTCAATTCAAATAAAGAAAATCGATTATAATAATAATATTTTAGTTACTTTGTTTCAAATAACAACATAGACGGCATTTAAAATTCGTTAATGTCGCTAAAAATTCTTTTTTATATACATATCAGTTATCAATCCGTACACATCCTTCATTCCTTCCATTCGAGTGCCTTTGAGACCTAGCTTGTCCCGAGAAAAAATGCACAGGCTCTTGGTTGTGGTGCTTGCACTGAATATCCTTATCCTCGAGGTGACTGCCAGTTCCTCGTACGATGAGCAGCGCTTTGACTGGGATGTACAGAACATTCGAAGGCTGGTAAAGTGCCGGAATAAGCATTACAAATCCACCAAGGAATTCTACTACAACTACTGGGTCCTGAAAAACTACATTAAGGCCGAGCACGGCCCGCTGTCCTGCTATAGCAATGTTACCTACACCACGCACGCGGACTATAGGTATCTGGACAACTTGGTGCCCCTCCTGGAGCGGTGGCGCTCTCCGCTAAGTCTGGCTTTATATGCTCCCGGTGACGATTTCCAGCCTACGCTAGACAGTATCCTGTGGCTGCGGCAGTGCCACCCAAGCAGCCACCTAGTGCGCGAACTGACCAGCGTCCACTTCTACTTCAATGTGGAGCACCTGCCGCAAGTGGTGCCCATGGCCAAAGTGGCTCTCCAGAGGCAACTCAACTGCAGCGCACCGTCGCCATATGAGAATGTGAAAAAGGAGCAGTTGTACAGGACGCAGGAAAAACTCGATTATCCTGTCAACATTGGACGCAATCTGGCGCGTGCAGCCTCCTTGACGCACTTTGTTCTGGCCTCCGACATAGAACTGTATCCCACGCCAGGGTTGGTGCCTAACTTTTTAAATTTTTTCAGCAGAAAGGTATGATATATTTTTATTTAAATATGTTATGTTGCTTTTACAACGAATTCCTTAGGTAGTTGGGAGGCATGTTAACATTCCCCTGTCCCCTATGGTATACGTTCTGAGGATCTTCGAAGTGCGGGCTAATGAGACCATGCCCAAAACCAAACCGGAACTGCAGAAAATGCTTAGAAGCGGAGGGGCTGTGCTATTTCATGAAAATATCTGCGCAGAATGCCACCAGGGTCCCAAGCTGGAGGAATGGATTAATGAGCCAGTAGCGTCGCAGGACCTAAACGTGTTTAATGTGGGCTACCGCTTGGAGCCACATGAATTGTGGGAACCGATCTTTATCGGCACTGTCGATGATCCTCCGTATGACGAACGTCTCAGCTGGGAAGGAAGAAGGGACAAAATGACGCAGGCCTACGCCATGTGTGTCCTCGGCTACGAATTCCACATCCTCGACAACGCCTTTTTGGTCCACAAGCCAGGCATCAAGGAGGCTTATCTACCCATAGGGCGCGTGATCCAATCCCACCGCACCGATAGTTTGATCAGTCGGGAAATATTCCGAGAGCTGCGTTTTATGTACGGATCGCGTAAAGGGTGTATTATTTAAAAAAAAAAAGGAAAAGGATAGAAAAAAGGCCATTTAAATTTTATGTTTTGTTTTTTTTTTTAACATTTGGCAATGTAAATTAAATTATTGGCCAACAATCTGCTTTATTTATTTCGCACAAATCATAAATGTATAACCATTATTTCCTAATTACTAAAAAATCTGCTTAAATAACTGTAGTACCTCTAGTCCAAATATTAAAAAAAGGAAAAATTTACTTTAGATAAAAAACTACCTTCATTTGTTTGCTTCATGATCAGTTCGTTAGGGGAAGCTAACATAATACATACAATACATACATAAATGTAATGGAATTGTTAAAACTTCCAATTTAAAGCTTTTTGTGCAGAGCACTCACTATTCGGTGCGCCCCAGGGCAGAAACGCTCCTCGCTTCCGTCAATGTTTGCTTAACTTTTTCTGTTGGGCAGTTTACTGAAAAATAACAACGCATGCAGCATAATCAATAGTATAAAATATGAACTGCAAACCTGAATAAATATTTATTGTTTGCTCCGTCCTAGTTGGAGTGTGTGTGAGTGGTTCGGCTTATGCACCAGATCGATGTAGTAAAAAGGAATTTTAGCTTAATTGAATATCAATTCATTTTAAAATGCACGCAATAAAATGGTTGCTGAGGGCGAGGGCAGGCGAATGTTAGACTGCATAAAGAACTGTAATACTAGATATGAGGCTTTTATGATTTGGCTAGCGTGTTTCGGAATTGGAAAGATGTGTGTTTGCTGAGCCTGCCCGGAGGTGGCAACGAAAATGTTATGCAATATTTATTGCGCAAATTATTAGCATTCAAAATGCAATTGATGCCCTCCAGTGATTAATTAAAATGTTTCCGAGCGCATATAAATTCATATTGTTTATTGCGGTTCATGAACAGACACAATGCTATCGTACGAGTGCTCGTTTCGGCGAGGTCAGTCGCCATTTTTGTGGTTCACTGCACACTTTTGCGGATAATTCGAGAGTAGCAGGCCTGAAACGGAAGCAATATGTTTTCGCATATGCGGTTTCATCATTTTCGGCAAAATAATTCAGAGCTAATTGAAAATTTGAAGTCAAGAATTTTCTATTTAAAGGCTTGAAAAGTTTTTCATTCTTCAGGAAATGCATTTCAAGTAAAATTTATACATACATACATACATAAAATCAAATAAAAACAAGAAAGGAAAGCTTACTTCGGGCGGAGCCCGTAATGTTTAGCATGTTTAGCAGTGGCGGATTTAAGGAAAAAGGCCCACTAGGCAAAATTTTTTCAGGGTACATTGAAGGACATTTTGAAGGGGACAGCCCAGAAAATTTGACAAACAATCTTAAAAATATTTTGATCCCAGATTTTGATGCAGATTTATGAAGAATCGATCCACAAATCGTTTAAGGTATTCCGTTCAAGAATGGGATGAATATTTCCTAAGATATGGCCTTCGCAGTGGATCATATGGGGCTCCCCATGCATTTTGCATATTTTGAAGGGGACAGCCCAGAAAATTTGACAAAAAATCTTTAAAATATTTTGTTCCCAGATTTTGTGGCAGAATTATGGAGAATCGATCCACAAATCGTTTAAGGTATTCCGTTCAAGAATCGGATGAATATTTCCTAAGATATGGCCTACGCAGTGGGTCATATGGGGCTCCCGATGCATTTTGCACATTTTGAAGGGCCCAGACAGCCCAGAAAATTTGACAAAAAATCTTAAAAATATTTTGTTCCCAGATTTTGATGCAGATTTATGAAGAATCGATCCACAAATCGTTTAAGGTATTCCGTTCAAGAATCGGATGAGTATTTTCAAAGATATGGCCTTCGCAGTGGGTCACATGGGGCTCCCCATGTATTTTGCACATTTTGAAGGGGACAGCCCAGAAAATTTGACAAACAATCTTAAAAATATTTTGTTCCCAGATTTTGATGCAAATTTATGAAGAATCGATCCACAAATCGTTTAAGGTATTCCGTTCAAGAATCGGATGAATATTTCCTAAGATATGGCCTTCGCAGTGGGTCATATGGGGCTCCCCATGCATTTTGCATATTTTGAAGGGGACAGCCCAGAAAGTTTGACAAAAAATCTTAAAAATATTTTGTTCCCAGATTTTGATGCAGATTTATGAAGAATCGATCCACAAATCGTTTAAGGTATTCCGTTCAAGAATCGGATGAATATTTCCTAAGATATGGCCTTCGCAGTGGGTCATATGGGGCTCCCCATGCATTTTGCACATTTTGAAGGGGACAGCCCAGAAAATTTGACAAAAAATCTTTAATATATTTTACTCTCTGATTTTGATGCAGATTTATGGAGAATCGATCCACAAATCGTTTAAGGTATTCCGTTCAAGAATCGGATGAATATTTCCTAAGATATGGCCTTCGCAGTGGGTCATATGGGGCTCCCCATGCATTTTGCACATTTTGAAGGGGACAGCCCAGAAAATTTGAAAAAAAATCTTTAAAATATTTTGTTCCCAGATTTTGTTGCAGAATTATGGAGAATCGATCCACAAATCGTTTAAGGTATTCCGTTCAAGAATCGGATGAATATTTCCTAAGATATGGCCTACGCAGTGGGTCATATGGGGCTCCCGATGCATTTTGCACATTTTGAAGGGGACAGCCCAGAAAATTTGACAAAAAATCTTAAAAATATTTTGTTCCCAGATTTTGATGCAGATTTATGAAGAATCGATCCACAAATCGTTTAAGGTATTCCGTTCAAGAATCGGATGAATATTTCCTAAGATATGGCCTTCGCAGTGGGTCATATGGGGCTCCCCATGCATTTTGCATATTTTGAAGGGGACAGCCCAGAAAATTTGACAAAAAATCTTTAAAATAGGAAATCTAAACTCTCTAATTAAAAAATCAATTGACACAAAATAAAACCTTCAGCTCAAACCTTCTATCTTTCTTCTGTTCTATATGTCTTCCAAAGCTATTCGTATGCATTTTATGTATTTGCTTGTTTATAATTAATATATGTAAATAAATTTAAGTATAGGTTATTGAATATATATATTATTATTTACATATATGAAAAAATAAAAAACTTCTTTAAACAAAAATGTCCAAATAACAAAAATAAAAAAATTTTTTACAAAAAATAATAAAAATATATACACAACAAACAATACGGGACGTGTCTGTGTCTAATTTGGTATTTCTAATATAAAAAAATGTTTGTACACATTTCTAAATTTATATACATATTTAAGAATTAGGATATTAGCTGGGAGCTCTAATGTTCCTTCTACCCAGTGGGCCAAGCACGATAGTTAAACGAAACTATCGTACAATGCTCATAAAGGGACTTCCTTAAGATATAAATCATCAAGAAAATACAAAAATCTTGCAAATCGTTCGGAAACGGTCTGAAAAAAGAACGTTTTGTTATATGTTTCACTTCATATGTCCAGTATTTTTTTGAATTATGTTTTTAATGATAAATATTAATACTCCAATTAACACCATAAAAATATAAATAGGACGCGACAGTAAACACCAGGTGTAATTTCGACATTTAGTTTTCATTTTGGAAAATGGCTCAATGGTTAAAGTGTCGCATTGTTTAAGGTGAATGGCTCAGGTACAACTCATATCATTCATTCAGATCGGACGCACACAGAAAATGTTTAATTCTTAAAGGCATGCCATTCGCCACCTTGTGTACTGCCATCCAAAGTGATGTACATACATACATACATATATCAAAAGTGCGTAAAACTGAGCCTTATGGCTATTCGGAACTCCATAACGATAAAAACAGCCACAAGAACCCCCGGCCAGAACATAAATATAAACAGAAAAAACCAGCACTGACCAAATCCTGGACTTGGGTTGCAAGGAATGAAGAGCACGGAAGTGTATGTCTGTCCCATTCCCGTCACAATGACATGGCAACTTGGCGAAACAAAGTAAGACGAAAAGTTTCCCAAAAAGACAAATGACCCTTAAAGTTGAAACTAACAGTGACTAAATGGAGACAAGAGCGAAAAATTTGTGTGTACTCAGGGCTAACGTAAAAAAAGGAACAAGATGGTGGCCAGCACGGCGGAGAATCAGGAGGTCCTGGAGGCAGATCCAAGGGCAGGGGCCTTCTAAAGGATTGGATAGATGAAGGAGTACGGAAAAAGAATCAGCTGAAGCAACTGAAGCAGCATGAAAATCTTTTAATTACTGCCACCAGTAGCCAAGCCAGCAAGAGCTTTCCATTTGTCTTCCAGCCAACTGCTGACGTTGTTGGATTTACCAAATGCAGAACGAGACGGCCAATGCGATTAAGTTGGCCAAGTGCGACAGAGATGGCCGGGCCGAGAGGCGAACAGAAGGAAAAGGAACAAAGCCTGAGGCCGCGTGAAATTGCAAAACTGTTTCACCTGAATGCATGAGGCAATGTTCCAGCTGCCCACCTTCTGAGGTCTGAACACGTCTAAGACATCGGAACAATAAGTTGACAATGGCCAAAACTGGTTCAAGAAAAACGACTGTATCGAAAATGGTTGAGAATCCCTCACATGCAGGAATAATTGGGGTTTTTTATAAAATCCGCAGCTAGGCCATAAATCAACGACTATTCAGGTGGTAAAAAAATGTATAATTGTCAGATTAACTATTAAAAAAGTCATATATTTAAATAAATGGGCAATTCACTTTTTATAGTCAGCCTGAGGACTCGATGTTTTTGTTCAAGAACTGAATTTTATTAATTTAAAACAATGCACATTTTCAATCATTCTCTCCATAATTTGTGAGTGGCAACAAACTTAAATGCCCCCAATCGCCTAGCACGTCAACATTTACCTTCAAACACTTTATAGTTCAAGAAAACTCGAAAAGGCTACTCGACCCAAGATGCCCCATCGGCAACCTTTAGCATTGACCACAATAGGGGCCAGGCGGAGAACCTTTCAATAAGTCCTTTACCCCCAATTTCCCAAGCTGCCTCCATTGTTGCACAGAATGAAAAACTAGAAAACCGACGAGAGAAATAAACAAAACTGGAAAATACAAAAGTAGCAAAGGGAATACTACAAAGAGGA